GATCATGACCGTTACTCACATATTCTCTCGCCCTCTTGTGGTGCTAACGCCATGCAGGGAAGGAAGGAACTCGCCGCTTGCATGATGTAGTGGCCTGCAAGATACTCAGGCGTAGCTAAAAGTTACGAGTTAGCTTTATGAGCACAAGCTATAAATTCAACAGCTCTGTGGTGGTTCCCGCAATTACCTCCTAAACTGGATCCATGAAGTCAGCAATGATGGATCTACAAGAGCCTTGAGAGATATGAAGAGTATGCCTCAGAATGGAGTTTATAAGTTTGGGAAAGGGAACTTACGGAACGTTTGATTCAAATATTTGTAGGCCAACCTACAATGTCCCGAGGTCAGCTTCGTTGCATATCACCACCCTAATGACCAACTACTAACCTTAGACCATTTCCCAACCTATTCAAAAAGATAGTCAGCAATTGCATGATTGGACAAATCTCAGAACACTTTAAGTTATGCAGAAGCAATAACCCCGAAACCTACGAAGGAGAGATCAAGATAATTCACTCACTGGCTCAAGTGTTACGCCGCGGTTGATAAGAGCAGAGGCAAGTTCTCTTCTACTAGTCTTCAGAGTATTTGTCCTAATAGTTACGTTAATCAAAGTCGACTGCTGGGGTATCTTGGCATATGCATGCATACCTTATGACGATAGGGCGAGGACTTTACCGTTTGAAGTCAGTAAATCCACTTGCAATTCTTGCGAAAGAAAAAAAAAGTCTTCGTGTATTGCTCACGTCTCGTTAGCATCAAAAAATGCCAGGGCCTCTCTCTGCAGTGTCCGTTAGTGCCGGTAACTTGAAGTTTCGTATACGAGAGGGCCAGCGTCTAGGTGTAATTTAGACTCACCGGCGGGAATAGGTTCAACAGTTTTTCTGCAAGGAATTCGGAGTATCCTGTAGGCCCTAGCATCAGCTCTGAGCCCAGCGCACCCTGTAATTCGAAAGGCACTGGCAGTCGCTTACCATAATATGCGCAGATATCTTTCAGCAACTGCGCAGTATACTCTGATCGGGAGGCATCAGGCTCCGAAAGATTTGCAAAGTCATCAAGAACGCGGATCGTGTCCGATATCCTCTGTCTCAGCAGTTGCAAATCAGGCGCCAGCAGATTCTTGTTCTGCTGTTCTTCGTCTCCGTCTTCCAGCACATGAGGAACATCGATGTTAGTCTGTAGAGTCTCTTGAAGTTCGGCTTCGGCGGCGGCCTCCTCTTCGGCCTTCTCCTTGTCCAACTTGCGGGATAGACCGACGATGTTGGCGGCCGTGAGTTTCTCCTCGGCGTCCCCGTCAGAATCGTCTTCGTCTTCGGAAAACATGGCCCTGCGCTCCCCTTCACCCTCCGAGTCGTAGACAGAGTCGTCCGATCCTAGGAAGTCGTCCGCAAGTCCTCCTTCCTCGTCCAAGCCGGACATATCCTCGTCACTAAAACCGCCCCCGACTCCATCGCTCATATCGTCGAGGTCGAGTTCGGGCTCAGGTTTGGCTTTCTTGGATTTCGGCTTCGCTGCCTTGCCATTCCGGGACGGGAGCGGTTGGGCTTCTTTTGTCTCGTTCGATTTTCTATTCACTTTGCCACTGGCGTTGTTGTTGGTCTTACTACTAGCTTTGCCATTTTGCGCCTTTCGCTTCTTGGTCTCGGGGATATCGTCGATTGGAAGTCCAGCTTTGCGCTTGAGTCTCGCAATATGGGCTTCGGACAGAGGCTCTGGTATGCCCTGGTGTTTAAACCGGTTTCCAGTACCCATTTTGGCAGGTTTTTCTCACGCAAAGGCGCAATTGTCGTGAATTCGCGTTGCGTATAGGATCTGGGTAGGGTCGCAGATGGCGCTGTTCCAAGCCTCCGACTGGGATTTGCTCCAGCGACTTTTTTTGAGAGAGGCCCACATTGATAAGATGATAAGGAATTCATCCCCACTACCGCGAATGTAATGGGTACAACCGGCCGTGGGGCTAGCGGGAGCTCCAGCCACAAAGTGGGGTGATCAGCTTCAACTCAATCCATCACCATCTGGTGTCGTCAGATCAAGCACGGCCGTCTGCCCAGCACCTCAACTCCTCTATCTAGATCTATGCAACTTCTCGCAAAAACACAGTCCCTACCGCAACCATAGATACCATGACGGAAGTGTCCTTCGCCAAATCAGTTCTTGCCGCGCTGGATGGCCGCCCAATCAAGCTCTCGCCGGACCATGTCGAAGACCCCAAGACTTACCAAGCGCGGAGCGCTGTACGTGCCCCTCCAGCCATGCTGCTGCGGCATCGCAAAGCCCCAACGGTACTAATAAATACACAGTACATCTTGCCCAAGATGCCAAAACCCATGAGCAAGCGCAAGGGCTCAAGCGTAGCGCCGGGCCAAGAACGAAGCCTCATCGTAACCGTCAAATCGCTCCGCAACCCGCCGCTCGACCTCAGACTCTCTTCCCAAACCCTCAACACCTCGATACACGATGTCAAGGCCTCCGTAGCCAAAGAGACCGGCATCGACGAGGGCAAGATCAAGATCCTACACAAGAAAAAGCCCATCCCCGATAGTAAGGTGCTGAAAGACCTGGTTGGCGATGACGAGACCACTATCGAGTTCTCCGTCATGGTCATTGGAGGTGCAGCAGCAGCAGCAGCGGCAGCGGCAGCGGCAAAGCCGGAAGCCCAGAATGATGTCGCCCAGGGTTTAAGTGGTGCAGATGTACTACAAACACAAGATTTCTGGAGCGACCTGAACGGCTACTTATTGCAACGGATACGAGATGAACAATTAGCAGCAGAGCTTACGGATACATTTCAACAGGCATGGAAGGCTAAAGGGTGAGTGTCACGTCGAGGTTAAACACGATAATACCAGCACTGGTGCCATTTTCCTAGCCCAATGCGCCATATGAAAAAGAAATAGAGATAGCGAAATTGGCATGTTTTGAAGTATGCGACACAAATGCTTTACTGTCCGAGCATGGCGAAAGTGGGGTGTAGTGTATCATTGGTCAACATCGAACCTGAAGTCTTTGCGTCGAGCAACTCCCCAATAAGCACCAAACTACCGTTCGTTGCAAATATGCGGCAGACAGACTTTGCGGCGGACTTTCCCTCGTTGCGGTATCGTGAGCTTCGTAGGCCAGGCTACCCAGGCCAATCCTTTTATCTTCTCCGTCTAGTTCATACCATAGCTGCATTCAGCACACTTAACCAGCCAGACCCTTGCTGACGACCTTCAGCACTGTCTCGTGTTCAATGTCATCGGGGTCGTTGGCTTGCAGTTCAATAGCAACGCCGTTGAGCGAGCGCTTGAGGCCCTCCTTGGACGAGGCGTACACCATCTTTGGCTGTAGTACTGTTAGCATCAATGGTCGCGCATGGCAGTTTGGGCATACTAACCATGACGCCGGCATCATCTGGGGACCAAGCAATGAATGTGATCTTGTTTCTGTGTCTGTCGTCAGTGTGGGGGACTCCCCGTGTAAAATTGCGTTACCAACCGGGAACCCTCTCCACTAGCGAGGCTGTATTCGAAGTCGTAGACAGCGTATCGGGGACCCTTGCAGACGGCACCCTAGCAGGATTGTGAGTATGACAGGAGGCTAACTACCGGCGCAGTCACAGCTTACACTCTTGGTCTTAGAGGTAGCCTTGATTAGCTTCTCGCGGAAGTTCTCCCAGTCCTTATCCCCGGAGGCCTCCTCGATTACGATCTCCCGGTTGTCGTCCGACAGCTTGAAGATGATGTACTTGTACTTTTTAGCGAGCTTGAGATCGTTGAATGCAGATATGCATTCCTGCGAAACGGTGGCTCTAGATGAGTTAGGGCTGTTAGCTACGGCTATTCAAACTCGCCAACGAGAACTTTGGACGTTGGTGAAGCGGCACATGATTGCTCATACGATCGCGTGCGGGGAGGCGTGCAAAAACGGTGATAAACAGGTAGAGAGAGAGAGCGAACCCTGATTGAGACTATAAGAGGCGGCGAGTTAGCAAATAAACGATATCGATTGTAATAGACAGCGGGATCAAGTTCTTACCATGGCGGCGGTGGATCAGAGAGGAAGGCGGCAAAGGAGGATCGGGAGAGCTACGAGGTAGGGTCAGCGCCGACGCTACTGGACGAGCACGAAGAGACGGATAGATATAGGAAGGGAGATGTTCGGTGGGGTTGCAGCAGGCAGAACTAACAGAAGTGAATAGGACAGTAGGGCCGCGCTGACGTGGTCTGCGATCGTGGTAAGAGTTGGGTTTGGCCGGGCAATGGTCGTAAATAGCAAGGAGCAGATGAGGGAAAGAGAGAGGTCAGGTTGGTTACAGACTAACGGTTAGATACCTGACACTGACAGGCTGGAGGCGGGATGTGTGTGTGTGGTGGGACGCTGTCGCAATGGAGGGGAAGAAGGTCGGCCTTGGGCGAAAAAAAAGGGACGTCCTGGGCCAACAAATGCACACTGTGGCATTGGATGCTCGACAGTAGGTACTGTACACTACTTGCCTATGGTACCCAAGGTTAGTACCTAGGAGGCTAGCAGGCTGCCGCGGGCCACAGCAACCCTCCAAGGCAGACGTTATACTGGAAATCAGTGCACAATGGAGGTTAGTGGGGTGACGAGTCGGCGGGGCTTGGATGGTTGACCGTGAGATACAGTACAGCACCAGGCAGTTTGGCCTTGGCGGACGAGGGGTAACCATGGCCTGACGTTAATATACATACTCGCATGCTCTCCCTAATGCACTGTACAACATACGTACTTGCAGGTTGCTTCAAGTTCTCTCGGGAACGCTATTAGCTCTACCCAACATTTTCACATCCAATAAGAAGAGACATGGCTTTAAAGGTGCCCAACAACAAACAAACAAATAATTAATTAATTAATATAATTAAAACTAATAAGACAAACTACTTGCTAATACTAACTACATAAAACAAGAATACCACGAGCAAAAGGTTAAGCAAGGACTTATCCTAGCGTTAAAGTGATAAAGAGGATGAGGAAAAAGAACATTATAAAGGTAATGTCCTGGGTGAGGCTCGAACTCACGACCTTTGGATGGCTCACTCTAAGAGTGCTTCATATTGCTATGAGACCAACGCTCTGACCAACTGAGCCACCAAGACGTACCTGTGTGATTATGTAATTGAAATAGTTGCGGCGTGGCATATTTTCATTCATTATTGTAAGGCAGGTTGCACTTGTGTTTGTTATGTTTGGTGGACGAAGACAGCGATGGATAGGGACCCCGTTTCGTTCTGGATTCGTTCTGGAACAAAGTATAGCGCCAACTTTACCCTAGTTTGGCGCGAGGGTAAGCATCTCTGCATTTGTGGCATATGAACAGGAACAGTCTCCTTACGCTCAGATCTGCAAGCGTATGCAGGATAATTCGAGGAAGGGGTATAAACACCTTCAATAATTGGTGGCAGTCCGCTTCCTTTCATCGATGATGAGGGCAGGTTTTATCATGTCGAACTATAAGCCAAAAGGGGCAAAGTTTAACACATGGATGGAAAACCATAGGCTGGTAATATGCCTAAACCGATGTGGCTTCCAGCAATACCGAGGTCTAATCTTACTGCATTAGAGGAAGCTTTTAGATCGTAGAGTGTGAGGCTATCGCAAGGTGGCCGACTGCCTACCTTACAAAGCAAGGAATCAAAGCAGCATTGCGGAATGCGAGCCGACCACAGGTCAGACCTAAGAACTGTCGCATTGCATGACGCGGCACTTCGAGATCAGCAGAGCAAGCGAATAATCATCTGGAGTAGGCAGCAGTATTTGAGTGTACGAATCTAAGTTCACAGTAGTATATTTAATAATGACTTGTGTAGGCATCACTCAAACGTTTGGACATCGGAATGCCTGATCATATTGAGAGATTAGTTTAACTTGTATTTTTTTCGTTTTCCGAGCTTACATCCACTATATAGTAGAGTAGTAGTCAAGCCAGCTGGCCGATTATAGTGCAACACTCGTTTGCAACGCCGCTCGGGATATCAGTAGCAGTAGTAGTATGAACAATCAATGTACATATGGTGGGTGCGGAGGGGAGAGGAAGAGATTACATGGCCACATGAGATAACAAAATCCGTCCCCAAACACCAGATTCAATGCTCCCTTTTAGCCCAGATATTTTGGTTTTGATACAAGACAAGACGCAGGTTCAGGTGTCTGATGCAACTTTTCACATCATCCCACCCATACCCCCCATGCCGCCCATTCCGCCCATGCCACCCATGGGTGCGGCAGGCTTATCTTCAGGAGCTTCGACAATAGCAACCTCAGTGGTACCGAGCAGCGAAGCAACACCACTGGCATCGACCAGGCCAGTTCGAACAACCTTGAAAGGGTCAAGGATACCAGCGTGGATCATGTCCACGTACTCGCCCTTGGAGCTGTCAAAACCCTTGTTGAAGTCGGCACCAAACTCATCCATTAATTTACCAACGACGACCGAGCCCTCCAGGCCGGCGTTTTCCACGATGGTACGAGCAGGTCGGGTGATGGCGTTCTTGATAATGCTAACACCGAGCTGCTGATCGAAGTTGGCGGTCTTGACATCCTTCAGAGCATGAGCGGAGGCCTTGAGCAGAGCAGTGCCACCACCGGGCAAGATACCCTCCTCCACAGCGGCACGGGTCGCGTTAAGAGCATCAACGAATCGGTCCTTCTTCTCGCCTACTTCGACTTCAGACGAGCCACCGACCTTGATAACAGCAACACCACCGGAGAGCTTAGCGAGACGCTCTTGCAGCTTCTCCTTCTCATAATCGGAAGTGCTAGGGTCCGACATGACGCCACGGATCTGTTCGCATCGCTGAGCGATAGCGTCCTTGCTGCCCTCGCCGTTCAGAATGATAGTGTCTTCCTTGGTAATTGTGATGGAGCCAGTGGAGCCGAGCAGGTCGGGAGTGGCCTTCTCTAGCTTGATGTCGAGCTCATCAGAGAAGACAGTTCCGTTGGTGAGAACACCGAGATCACCGAGGATGGACTTGCGGTTGTCACCGAAGCCAGGGGCTTTGACAGCAGCAACTTGCAGCTGTCCTCGGAGTTTATTGAGGATGCAGACAGCGAGAGCCTCACCGTCAATGTCCTCAGCAATGATGACAAGAGGACGGCGCATCTGTGTCGAGGCCTCAAGGGCAGGGATAATATCTTGAACAGCCGAGATCTTCTTCTCGGAAAGGAGAATAAGTGGCTTCTCAAACTCAACCTTCTGAGACTTGGCGTCGGTGATGAAGTAGGGAGAAACAAAGCCACGGTCGAATCGCATACCCTCGGTAACCTCTAGCTCATCGTTCAAAGTCTTTCCCTCCTTAACGGTGATGACACCCTCCTTGCCGACCTTCTCCATGGCATTGGCGATCAGCTTACCAATATGGGTATCTCCGTTCGCGCTGATGGTGGCGACCTGGGCAATTTCTTCACTGGTGGTAATATCGCGCTTGTTCTTCTGGAGGTATTCGACGACGGCGTCGACAGCGGCCTGGGTACCACGGCGGAGGTCCATAGGGTTGCAGCCGGCAGCGACGTTCTTGACAGTCTCGGAGAAAATGGCTCGGGCCAGGACGGTAGCGCTAGTGGTGCCATCACCGGCAGACTCGTTGGTCTTGGAGGCGACGTCTTGCAGCAAACGAGCACCCAGGTTTTCGAACTTGTCCTGCAAGCTAATGGCTTTAGCGACAGTGACACCATCTGTTATAATCAATGTTAGCGCATCCAGGCCATGTTTGACATGCAAACCGTGGGTTCAAATACCCTTTGTGATTTTAGGCGAGCCATAGCTGGACTCGATCAGAACGTTCCGGCCCTTGGGACCTAATGTGGTGGCAACCGCCTTTGCCAAAGTCTCAACACCAGCAAGCAGCGCAGCTCGACCCTCGACACCAAACTTGAGCTCCTAACGGCCAGTCAACACCATGCGCTCCAAATAGCCTGGCGAATGTCAAGGAAGAGGAACGGACGAACCTTGTGGGTAAACCGAAGCTGTTGTGACAGACCAGCACCGGCGCGGTACTTTGTGGCGGCCGAGGACACGACCGAGGCCCTGGCGCGTGATGAGAGAGCGCGCTGCATTGTGGTTGTGATATACGTATTAGAAGTAATAGGATAAAAGTACAACGGCACAGGCAGACGTATCACAATGGAGGAGGACGCGCAAGGAGAGATGGGTTGAGAAGATGATAGATTTGGGGAAGCTGGGGAAAGCTTCAAAAATTTTGGCTTTTGGCTACGAAATTGACGGCCCGGCTGCACGGTGAGCTCTGAGCACGCTAACCGATCCTGTCTTAGCGTATAGTACAGCTCCATTTTGTAGAAAACCGTCGAAGCACTTCCATCCATCACCAAGGGGCATCTCTGGTTTGTTGCATTTCCATTGCCGAGGTTTTCAGATGTATGCATTTGTCCGTCACGAACTAGCCGTCCCCGGCCCCGGGCCCCGCCCTTGTGGTAGGGAGCTCTACATAGTACTGCAAGAACAAAGCAACATTGAAGGGCTTGAACTCATTAGAATACCATGTTCTTTCATAATATTACATGCCGTGCAGGTATTCATTGTTAGGTGATGACTTCCAGGTTGACATACTGTATACTGACATGAAGCACATTCATAGGTACATAAGTTATACGTATGTGACCTAGTTAGTTCAATGGTATTGAGCCCGCCCTAAGGTAAGTAGATAGGTACTACCTATGACAACATTTATAACATGAGAATTGCAAGCGTGGCCTCCTTAAATATTATAAATCAATGCACCCAAGGACCAACATTAAGCACCACAAGGAGACGACCGGCTTTAACTTACTTAACACCAACTTATCGCCGCCCGAGTGCATCGTTGCTGACAAAACACAGGATGGGCTCAAGTTATAAGAAGAGCCTCCTTTCCACAAGAACTCATCTCAAAGAGCACCACAGTCAACACAGAAAACTTCGGATACACAACTCACAATGTCGACTATCGCCAAAACTATTGTTGCTACCGGCGCAAGCTCCGGCATCGTAAGCGGCCACAGCAGACCATTCCACGATTCATAACATGCAATTTACTAACATCGTGCAGGGTTTTGAGGCCATCAAGCAATTGCTGGCCCAATCGCAGCCTTACAACTTCATTCTTGGCGTCCGAGATGTCAAGACGACGACAAATGCCTACAATGGGCTCAAACACGACAACAGCAAGCACACACTCACTATCTTACCGCTCGAGCTAAGCAACATGAATTCTGTCAAGTCATTCGCCCAGCAGACTCTCGAGAAGTTGGCTGGAAGCCCAATTAACTACCTCATGCTCAATGCGGCCACCGGCATGATCAAGACGGTGGCCGAGAAAGGCCCGCACGGCTCGAAGTGGATTGAGCCATATCTCGTCAATCATCTTTGTACATCGGCCCTCTAAGTTGGTGTTGCCATACATATAACTAATGCTCGTTATAGCACAGCATTACCTCCTCCATCTATTGCGACCTAAGTTGGAACAGTCTAAGACTCGGGTCGTGGTGGTCTCCTCTGGAGCCGTACGGATGGTGAAGGATCCTAGTAAGCAGACCCCGAGACGCTCAACGGTCGCCAGCAAGGCTAATGGCATTCATGACAGACACCCTGGAGAATGAGATGTTGGCTGCCCAAAAGACAGACATCAGCGTCTACTCCGCTACCAAGTTCATCCAACTCCTCGGTGCCCACTGGTGGCGTCGTCAACTCCAGGGTACCTGCCAAGTTGTGGCTGTGTCTCCTGGGCTGATTCCGCATACTGGACTTGGTAGAGGGAGTAATATGAAATTACCAGACCACATTCCCGAGGCGAAAAGTGTCCCCGAGGGTGCACAAAGCGTCCTCAGGGCCTTTACTCGAGATGATATACCCGAGGACCCGGAGCAAATCTTCCTCACAAGCTGGGGAGAGTGGTGGCCTAAGGATGTCTATGAGCTGTCACTCAACAGTAACCTCCAAGACAAGTGGTCGCCAAGCCAGGAAGATATTGAGAAGGAAGAAGGCGTTAATGCATGAAGAAAATCGATGCGAAGCCGCAAGAACCTGGATGTACGGTTGTAGCTAGTTAGTGCAGGACTTGATAGAGTGTGTAATTGGCTCCAGAGCCCCTACCGAGTTTATATA